TTTAAGAAATATTATACGGTATTAAACAGATTAACTGTGGTTTATAATCAGAAGTTTTTATCATGCAAAACCTCATCGAATATGTGGAAATTAGTTAAGCAAATCACTGTCGGTAAACAGATAAATAACGATCCTTCTTCAGTTGATGCTGGCACGTTCAATAATTCCTTCCTGAATCGTCCACCGGATGTTATGATTTCAAGAGCTACAAGTGTGAACAATGACTGCTTTACTGGTTTTGATGCAAATGATATCCTCAAGTGTCTCCTATCCTTGAAACCCCCCAGTCCCTTGGTCCAGATGGTGTACCTGGTATAATCCACAGAAAATGTGCTGACATTTTATGTTATCCTCCCATTAGTATTTTCAATGAATTACTTTCCACTAATGTTGTTGTGCCTGCTTCTTACAATTACATCAAAATTGTTCCTATGCTTAAATCACAAAGTAGATTAAGTGTTAAGTTTAGACCTATTGCTATTATCTCACCGTTCATAAAAATAATGGAAAAACTGCGTTAAATTAACTTTGAACCTTCATTGAAGGATTTTAATGATTCCAAACAATTCGTCTATAAACACAATATGTGTAATTTAGATGCCACTGTTGTCTTATATTATAACATAGTCTGTAATTTAGACAGAGGCCAAATGTATATCCTTGATTCTACATCTGCCTTCGGCTCTGTACCTAATCCTCTTTTACTAAACAAATTTGCTGAGACACAAGCAGGGCGCTGTTGTTAACAAATGGTTGTATTCTTACTTTCCTGACAGGAGGCAGTACAATATATATAATGGTAAGTCTTCCACTGTTTTTACTTACTCTAGCTGGTGTTCCTCAAGGTGTTGTTCTCCTTTTCTGTTTTCTTTCTTCTTCATGACTTCAGTCTCATTCGGATGAAGCTGATTTCGTTAAGTATGACCATGATCTGAGTGTTTCTCTGTCATCGGTTACTTCTCACAATCAGATTGTTTCAAAGTGAATAACGTCGGTGGTCCTCATCAAATGATCTTATGCTAAATCCCTCCAAACGTTAGGTTGTTACTTTCAATTTCAGACGCAAGTGTTACCTACATGAACTGTTTCGTGGCACTGAAGTTGGAACTAAGTGGAATGTTAAATACCTTGGACAGTTTATTTCATCAGATCTTTTGTGGTCTCCACACGTCATGTTAGTTTCTAGGACGATATTACGTTTGACGTTCTACATAAAGAAGTTGAGACGATATGGTATCAATCAATTTCTATTATTGCTGTTTGTGATTTTTTGCACTTCATCTATCTGTCTTTATTGCTTCCTCTTAATCTTCCCTGAAACTACTAAAGAAATATTTTGTTAGACTGCGAATGGCATTAAAAGCCGTCAGTGGGGCGAGTGAGATGTCGCTAAACCAACTTGTTAGTACTGCTGTAGGTAGACACATCAACTCCTGCAAGAAATCAGCGAATATTATCTTGTCAGACTCTGAGCATGGTGCGTCGGTGGTATGGCGGTTAGGACGCTCGCCGACCGTGCACATGGTCCGGGGTTCGATCCCCGGCCGACGCACTCCTTTACCTCGCTGAGCCAGAAATAATGCTGGTAAAGAGGAAAGGTTGGGCATGAGGCTAGCGACCCCATCCTGTAAAATAAACACTGCTACAGAAACTTCAAGCCACTAGCTTGAAGCCCTATGTTCCACTTGGGAACGTCAAGGAAAAAAAGACTCTGAGCATCCCCTGTTTATATAACTCCTTCCTTGCATCTTATTAGGTAGGAATAGAAGCAGTTACAGGAGACTTTATGCTCAGACGATGAAGTATAAGAATTCCTCAGTACCTTATATGGTAGGCACCCATTTTATTTGATAAGAAAAGCGTAAGGCATAACAATACTAATTTACTGAGGAACACTAAGTAAACGGCCCTTTTTAGTGTTTCTTCCATTATTATATTGTTAATATTTCCAATTAAATTTTTATTTTATTTTCATATTCATATTGAACAATATCATTAATGTAAATGCCCTGTTAAGTTATCTCCCCCTGCACTATGTAAAGGGAAAATTGGACGCAATATTGTACCAAATGATGAAAATTCTATATTCGTATCGAAATCACTTCTTGAAATAGAGCTATTAGGAATTTAAGAAAGACCATCCAGCTAATGAAATAAAAAGTGGATTTTATGCTGCTTGGTCATGAGAAATTAACCAATGTCATGTTTCGGGTAATTAGTGTTGCTGACTGATTTTCATCAGTCAAGTTCGTATTGAGTTCTCCAGGCTAAGTGCTTGCCTGACAATTTTGGTGTTCTTTGAAATGATGTTGATGGATGGAGTCAATCAGCAGGAAATTCAAAGAGATATTAGTGTCTTCGAGGTTGCGGACACACCTTGCCAATGAATGCTATCAAGCCCCAAAACCTAGGCCTAGGGCTTCTTACCGATTACATCCTACCATCTAACACCAGTTCAGACTACACTCTGCTGACATGTTACCAAGTTTAATGATCACCTTGCAAACGTGAAACAAAATAAGATTTTGAGTGAACAGTTGTTTTCGATAACTTCTTCCTCAGGCTCTATAGTTATAAATCCATGAATAATAGAGTACATATAGCCAATAAAGGCAAATGAAAATAATATCAGAAACTGTATTGGGGTGCATGTGTAAGTTGAGATGATAGTCCATTAGTTAACATAATCAATCAAATGTGTACAGGGTGTATAGTCAGAAAAATGTGATGAAGTGTGAATGAACAATTGGGTGATATAGTGCTGTTTTATAGCCAACAGAATACAAGTGTCATTGGGGTGAGAGAAATGCGATAACCACAAAATACATACAAACACACATTAACAAAGGGGACACTGAATGTGAGGGCTACGCCTCCTAGCCATAGCTGAGGCCTTAGGGATTAACAGAGAAAGACCAGACTTATGTGTACAGAAAAAACTTATTCACTCTCTCTGTCTACCCTCGCCCACTATAAGGTCACCGGGATCATAATTTTCCGTATTATTATTACCATTATTATCATTCTGTGATATCATGTTTTTATTATCCGTTTCTCCACCCAGTTTATTTCACCTCATTGTTACCCTTAATTTTGTCAACCTTTGTGATTTTACTCTAAGCCTACCAACTCTGTAACATCTTATTACAATTTACAATTTAGCCTCTTTATTTTATCATTAGACATTATCGGTCAGCCCTCACATTCAGTGTCCCCTTTGTTAATGTGTGTTTGTGTGTATTTTATGTCTATCGTATTTCTCTCACCCCAATGACACTTGTATTCTGTTGACTATAAAACAGCACTATATCACCCAATTGTTCATTCACACTTCATCACATTTTTTCTGACTATACACCCTGTACACATTTGATTGATTATGTTAACTAATGGACTATCATCTCAACTTACACATGCACCCCAATACAGTTTCTGATATTATTTTCATTTGCCTTTATTGGCTATATGTGTACTCTATTGTTCATGGATTTATAACTATAGAGCCTGAGGAAGAAGTTATCGAAAACAATTGTTCGCTCAAAATCTTGTTTTGATTTCAAAACGTGAATCACAGAATTCAGGTATCAGCAATCAAAAAAACTGGACACATGACATTACTCACACCCAAGTGACCTGATCAGTCATTGTATCGATTACAGTTCTATAAGAAGTAAAACAAAATACCGAATAGCTTAGTGGTGACGTTCCTAACTGCAGAGGTGAGTGGCGCGTGTTCCAATCTCACAGCTGGAGGGGAGAAATATTACTTCCTTCGAGTTTGCTGAAACGCTTTGTTGTCTAGTGCCGGTAAACACGAAACCTAGGTAAAGAACTTCCTACGCATTCCGTCCATCCATCCAGCAAAAAAGAAAGATAACAAATTTCTGAGCACAAATTAAAAATTTCAATATAAAAAGTAATTAAGTGATCACAGAAATGATTATACACAGACAACAATCAGTGTTCATACAGGTAGGCATATTCAGTAAGAAATCTCAATATTTTTTTACAAAAATACAATATATGTACATACACAAACATATACAAATAGACGGTTACAGACTGGCACACACAAAAACACTTCCGTGTAAACTGGTCACACTGGAAGGTACAAAATATAATGATGAATATCTGATTAATTCTCTGAAGATGTACTGTGGATAAATAAATGTTTTTATTTTAAAAATATATATTTATATATGAAAAATGTAAAATAAACACTTAACGAAGAAGGTAGAAAGACAGAAATATTTCGATATCACATAACTGACTGATTTATTGATTTCCTGTAAAATTTAAAATCTGATTTTGTCGAACTGATTTAGTAGGATTTATGACGCATATTATAGTGAAGCATGCATGCATAGATGGATTCACGCCTATGTATGTATGTATGTATATATGTGTGCTGTAATACATAGACATTCGAGGTTAGGTTTTATATGCAAACAGTTAAGCATGTATGTATTTATGTATCCTAAAGGATATGATCTAATTATACATTGACTGAAGCCTAAAACATTCTTTTTTTCTTCTTCTTCTGGTAATTATACAAAATATATTAATTTAAATTGATCTTTGGTAAGCTTTTACAAAAATATGTGTACTAATTCTTCATGTGTCATCTTGGTGTTGTTGTTACATACAATGCTTGTCTTTTTACTTGTAATGCATTTTGATGCATCGAAATGGCATTAATCATTTGACGAAATGATAACCAACCTTTATTTTTTGGGAGAATAAAATATTGTCTGATAGCAAAAACAAAAAAAATCAACTCATGTATTTTCATTTTTAAATCCCTGAATAAAGATAATGCTAATTACCTGGTTTAATTGGTGAAATGGAACCAGACACAAGAACATATATATATATACGCATAAGTACAGGCTGCACGAACACTCCTGGAGGAAAAGAAGCAACTTCCTCATCAACAACAAAAAAAAATACACAGAAAGAATGAAACGAAGAAATGAAAACAAAGAATTACTGAAAATAATTCAAAATTTAGTTAAAGCTGAATTAGCCATTGGATCAATATTGTTTCCATACAGACTGGGTACATTTAATGTGGAATCGGTTATTTCCATTGCGTCAGGCATAGTAATAACTTTCATAGGCGTGTGCTTTTGAGGATCATCAATCATACTACTGCTAGGCATATTAGTAGTAGTATTACTAATGGTCTTAGTGGCTGTACCGTTGTTTAGAGGTGGAATGTTATAAAAATCTCCATTTTTAATAGATTTTGTAGTTGGGTATTGTGGGTTTGTCATGGTAGGTCCATTGCTGACCGAATCTGGTGTGTACACAGGCATTGTGTGATCCAGTTTGTCTTCGATTTGCCAGTTGGGTAATTCATAAAATATGGGGTTTGTATAGTCATATAAACCCTGAAAAAGACAGAAAGTTAAATAAAATATAAGGCGAGTGTTTGGCGCAAATCAGTTGTTTTACTGCATGGTTTTATCAGAACACGGAATAAGATTTAAAGCTGTCTATAGTTGCTTCCTAGTCGTTGTTAATAGAGACGGAGACTGAATTTCGATGGAATAAAATTCGAAAAACAATAGAGTGCTTTAGTTCCATCACAGAATATTTTTTCTGGATAAGAAAACATAATTAGGCTTTCAGTTTCAAATATGAGATTTACATTCACTGACATTCAGCGATGAAATTACTGTATAAATCTACAGCTCATAAATGGAACAATTGAGCAACACTAATGAGTTGTAAGAATAAAAAAATTAATTAAGCGGGTTCATAGTTGTTCATTTCCGAACATCATCCTCCATGGTTAAGGAAGGGACAGATATACATGAGCTATTCGTAGCTCTGTTTAGCACACCTTGTAGATTGTGAGCATAAAGTCGATGTGTTAATAAACCATTCAAAGTTATTTATCCCATTCCGATTAATATCAGTTTTGCTTTACGAATCCGTCTTCTACATACATAAAGCTTAAGCCATCAGAATCGACCTGAAGAAGCCAGAATTGTGCCTTCAGAAGAAATTCGTGCAGCCACTTTCCTCACATTAGACATAGTTGTATCAGTGTAAGAAGCTGGAAATTTCGCCCTCCTACTAAGCCTTTTACAAGTTATTAATATCCAGGTTACTTTATTTTTCTGACTCTATCATTTTTAATTGACTACTACGTAACCAACATGGGCAGTCACTTATTCCTTAATTACTTCCGAGTTTTCCTAAATTATGCATTATGCAGTCTACTCGGTGTAACCATTTCTACCCTTTAATTGTTTTTATTAATTTTCTTGGTTAATTATCACCCGCATAACATGCTGGTAGTGACTAATTATTGTTCAAAAACTCGTCGTCACTAGACTGGTAAAATATTTGTGGTATATATATTGTATATATATATATATATATATATATATATATATATATATATATCAGAGTCTGAGTAAAGATGAGGATCTAACCGAAAAGTAAATATTTCATGGGCTTTTGAGTTGGGTCTCAGTGGCTGACTTGTAACCGGTAGGTCCTGGATTAAAACCCATGTGGTGGGTACGTAATGATGAAAAGTTCCAAGTTATAACAAAAAAGCCATCCAGTACTCCATGGTTTTCAGTGGTTCTTTAACTGATATCAGTCTATGGTCATACCTGAAACAGATATTTCTGTACTCGGTACTTTAGCTTTCTAAATGTCTAAATGGGGAATAAAACTCAAAATCAGCTAAATGCACGACGTTTATTCAGTTGCATTATGTTGTCTGAAGAAATGTACTTCCGAATTATTGCTAGGTGGCTAGAAGTGATTGGCAGGTGGCCATGAAGATAGGTTTGTGACTATTTGCACTCATCGACAAGGCATGCTTGGGATTTTTAAGGAACTGATGTACCTCCTGGCCTTCGGAACCCCGTCACGCAGTGATGTAGTTGGAGACGTCACCACTACGGCGCTGGAAACAGAAACTAACACCCTGTGGGAGTTCAAGCAGTGGTGACATTGACTGCAGACTGGTTGACTGAGTGAACACATGAAACTAGTTGCTCTCCATTGACCAATCGACTGATATGTGCTAGTTGCAGCGGGACCGATTGTTTGGAAAATCCCTCCTAAGCAATTCAATCAGCATACTTATGCTAATTAGGATTTTCCAAATAACTTTGTGACAATTATCCGTTTTTCCGCTAAACTGTTGTATATCGTTGTTCTGATATTTGCATATTATATATTGACTTGATCTTTACTATTTGTCTTCGTCACTGTTAGTTCTCTAATTCTAATACTTCTCTTTGTGGTCGTTCAACGCACCGATAATGTGTTGTTACACGATGTGATTTTTTGTTTGAGTTAGCCAAGGTGATTCTGACCTCGGACTGTCTGCAGGAAGTATCAATATGTGATTCTTGTGGACAGAGTTTTTGATCCCACCCTGTTGGGAATATTCTATTTGATTCTAGGATACCTCTTACAGCTGAATTTCAGTAGACTAATTTTGCTCTACAGTACTTGTTTTCTACTTAGAAAGTGACCTTGTCTGTATAGCTGCCTACCGGCACAGTTGAGGTAATTTTAAGTTTTGGATGTTTTTATTGTTGAATATAACCACAGATTTATTAAATAATAATAACAATAATCTTTTTGGTGTCTTTGGAGCCTTTGTGATTATGCGTCTACCAAGGAAGTTTTAGACGGCTTTACAGTAGAGCCCACAGATTGGTTTAATGCGTTCTGACCACAGTTAGTCAGGTTTGATCACTACACTAGTTTACAAATTTGGCAGTTGTATTATTATTTTTAAAAGCAGTGAAAAGTAGAGTAGGATGTGGGATTTATCGATGAACTCACCTCATCCTGATCATTATTCTCTTCCGTCTCATCTATTTGTTTTGACATGATTGATATGCGTACCGATGTTCTTTGTTGTACTTTAGATCCTCTTAGTTTCTTTCTTCTTTCTTCTTGCAAATTAGTTAACCGCCATTGCCAACCTTGATCCTCTACTGTACGTATAATGAAATCAGGTAAAAGGGCCAATAAAACTAAACACAGTGTACCAAACCAGGTAACACCAGCTCCTGAACCAGCGTACATAATTGTAAATGATCCAAATAGCTGTTTACCAATTGTAGCAGGAAACAGTACAACATTACATATTAAAAATGCTCCAAAATTACTGAAAAATGCCACATTCCATAGTAGTAATACAATCCAGTTTAAATAATAGCTCATAAGTAGTACTTTGATATTTACAATAATAAATACAAGGATAACAATAAAATTGCCAAAACAAACGATATCGCCTAGTGCAGAGTTACCGTTATCATTGCCTTGACCTTGAAAAGTTAAAAAATATGCACCAAAAAATGCAACGAAAGCATGCCAACAGGCTAAACCAATCCAAAAGATAAAGCGTTCTTTGGAGAGGATAGCATTTTTAGCTATTCCTTTGTATAAAACAGGGAACTCCAAAAGTGTACTCTCTGGTACTGGTACCTCAAAGATACCATATAATAGAATAGGTAATGATGTCATAGTTAAATTGAAAAATAATAAATACAATTGTGGATAAACTGACTGTTGTGAATAAGCACAGAAAAATCCATACAACATTTGAGGTAAAGTGAAAATTATATTTTTATAGAAAAAATACATTACTAATAAAGAAACGCGTAGATAAAAGTTATGTCCATGTACAAGGATAACATTTTTTAAGAAATGAAAACGTCCAAATGCATAGTCAGCAGCTCGAACAGCTTGTCTGCCTTCTTTACCGTATATACCGAAACCAATGTGTGCTTCTTGTATCATTGAGACATCATTGGCTCCATCACCGATAGCCGCAGTAATCGGTACTGATGACTTTCGACTTTCTTTAATTAATCTTACCACTTCAGCTTTCTGCAAAGGTGTTAATCGACAGCATAGGACTGTTGTTGATTCTAAACAACATTGTAAAAGTAATGATCTCACTGGTTCCTGTAATTTGGAGGAGAAAATTTGAAACAAACGTGTGAATGTCGCCTGATAGTAGAAATCAGAAAAAACATTCTGCTCAGAAATTTTTCATCATTTGCTGAAACTTTATGCTTTATAGTATATAGAACATTCAGACCTTACTAATCTCACTGCTGATTAGTAAATTAATTGATTTATTTCTACCAATTATTGCAGTCACCATTTTCTCTGATTAGATCTTTAACGATTTTATGATAGTGATTTTGTGTTTGTCTCTAGAAACTTCAACTTAAAGTCTCGGCCTTGAATTATAGGTGACTTTTAGAGGACAGGGTCATTCACTGATGTCATTTCAGATGGTGGAGTTATGATTTTTAACAAACAAGTCTTCAGTATCTCCATGGATTCTTGGTAATAACAACCCAGGCAAGATTTTAAAACATTTTATTCCTTTACTTTCAGACTGGAACATAGGACTTCAGGCTTGAGCTTTGAAGTTTCAGTGGAAGCGGTTTTATTTTTACGGAATGGGTTTGCTAACTTCACACCCAGTCTTCCTTCCCTACCGGCACTACTACCGGCTTAGCGAAGTTCACGAGTGATTAGGCCGAGGATTGAACCCAGGATCACATGCGCGGTTGGTGAGCATTCTACCTCTGAACAACCAATGTATTACGCAAACATGAGTTTCGTATTTTGTGTTCTCTATTCATTTGCATGATTCAGGGTTCAATTTCTCGACCACTCATGTGATCTAGGCTTCGGTTTCCATCCAATACACTCCTAAACCTCGCTTAGTCGATAATTAGCCTGTTTGGTAGAGAGGAAAGGTTGAGCAGATGGCTGGCAAACGCATGTTGCAAATACCGCTACTGAAATTTCAAAACTCAAAGCTTGCGGATTTATGTTCAACTCGGAAACAAAAGAAATAAATTGTAACAAAAAAATAAAGCAACGGAAAAGGGTAGTGAAATAATGCTGGAATCCGGCTTTTCGGATAAAAATTCAACCTGATTTCGATTCAAAAGATAAGTCGATGATGGTATGTGGTTGTTCAATAATACTGCTATAACTGATGAGTTTCTTTCCTTATGGTGGCTTAATGAATAGGGCCCTATTCAGGTAGGTAGTTACCTGGGGTTCTAGTGAGAAGTCGTGACTAGTAGGGTGCAGCAGGTCGGGTGTGAGGACAAATACTCGCCGAAGACATTGGCTAGGGGTCGCGTTATGTCGTGAATTGGTAGAAGTTAGAATTCATGGGCCATTGGTTCGGGTCCCAGTGGATTAATGGTATACGAGCTCGCCTTGTAACCAGAAGGTCCTGGGTTCGAATCCCGGTGGGTGCATACTACTGAAGAGTCCCAAACCAGGAGGAAACAGCTGTCCAGTACTCCCAGGTTTTCCAATGGTCCTCTAACTAATGTTAGCTCATGATGAAAATCCTGTAACCAATCAAATCCCTACAAACCAACACTTGAATGAAGTTATTATTTGTTTACGTGATTCTTTGCCTTTCTATCGGTTTTCTATGTGAACATGTTAGGAATAGCGTTTCATTATAAATAAGAACTGCCTCAATGTTTTTCTAAATACCATTCAGCATGAAACTGGTGCCTACATTGGTCTTATGTCGAGTATAAATGTCCTTAGTGCGTGTATCACCAGGTGTGTATACATTGTGCTAAAATGATTTCCTAATCAAAAGTGGATTTCATTGTAAACCGAAAATCTACTTAGTTATAATTTGGGACTAAGACGTTGAAATAATAAGGAAAATTTGTAGCTAATGTCGGAAGATTCTTTGAAATCTGGTACTCAGATCAACTTGTTATTTGCAGACATGTGGATACAGCTCAGATTTACAAATCAGTTCAAATAAGCCAAATTTAAAGTGTCAAATAGACAAGATGAGCTATACTAACGTAGAAAAAGACGGATATTTCACTCACAAAAAGTTTCGAAAGCTCACTAAACTTTGATATTGACGCTGAATGTGTTGTCCAGAGGGACAATAAAAGCTTTGTAGCTAAATTATCCAGTTTCGAGAATACAATATTACCTAAATGTTTCGTCTTAGAGGTCATAGTCTTTCAAAAACTTAGCTGGATTCCTGAATTTCTACAGAAAGCTTCCTCTGAGACTTACAGTTAGACCTGTTTTAGACAGATTTACTCTAGTATGTCGTGTGACATTTTATCTATAGATATTCCGAAGTGTAAGCTCCAGAAATATATTTACTTGCCTAAGAGAATTAATTTGAAATATGATCAAGGGACTAGCTATTAATCTGTCACTACTATAAAATATGTACACAGCGATAATTAAGTTATGTTTTATTACACTGATAAGCCATTGGTATAAGCTATTCTGAAAGTTGAAGATAAAGGAAAGCTGACGAATATTTTACTTTAACAATCAAAGTTCCAGAGGTCGGACAAGGCACATCAGTTTGCAGAAAGTAGCAGGAGTATATATATATATTTAAATATTGAGGATTCGGGAGCACAGTCTACCTTTTATATGCTGACGTTCCAATGAGACCTAACGAAGCGTTTTCGAATGAAAAGTCAATGCAACCAGAACCTTCTAACAGTCATAGCTAGCAAGTGTTCTACAGATATGTTCAGATAACCTGAAAATACTTGTTACAAAAGTAGTTGGATGCTTTTCAGGCTGTATGGCTATAGGATGAGTGATTCACAACTGAATGTCAAACTTTAAAGACAGTCTTACACTTCTTTTTTCCAGAAGTCATGCATATTCCTCACCATATTGTGCAATCATCTCTAAAGTAAGCTAAGGTAAGTATCACAATGAAACTGGATTTCAAAATGTCACAGCTAAGAAGCCTTTCGTATAAATGTATAGTTAACTAAAACTAATATTTAAAATATTCATTCATACATTTAGAAAAAAATCGAGCCAAGAATATCCTTTTCGATAATTTCCGCTCCTGGTTCTACAATTATATCTATATATATTTATGTATATATATATTCATATACATAGAAAATTCTAGAATAGCTGTCATTAAACAGACTGGTGTTTTTGAAATACTATCGATTTGTTAAGTAAGATCATTCCTAGCCATCCTTATGACTAGAAAAGAGGACGGTACAATAAGAAGAAGTATATATGGAAAACCGACATCGACAGATCAGTATACTCATATTTTCGACTGTGTGCCTTTGAAGTACAAACGCAATCTAATAAAGCTCTTTGTCCACAGAGCAAGAGCATTGTGCTCTGATGAATGTCCTAATGAAGAGCTTAATATTATCAAACGGTTGTTATTCAGAAAAATTCATCGATAAGAATATGAATCAAAAATCAAGGCAGGCCAAAGTACCAAAAGTTTCGATAAAGGCCTTATTCCTACAACTTCAGTTCCTTGGGGATAAAATCAGTGAGATATTAACACAAAGCTTTAGGAATGCGGTAAAAAGAGCATTCATTGCAGCTGAATTACGCTGTATCTTCAAAACCACCCCTATTTTGTATCCGGAAGTTAAAGATAAACCGCCTAATTTCGCCTCTTCTATGTGTATCCACCAATTTGACTGCTCCTGTTGAGCCAGTTACATAGGCCGTACAATTAGGTGCGTTTATCGTCGGATTTCCGAACCTCATCCTGCGTGGTTAAGTAAAGGACAAACAAAATCCATTCATATCTCTAATCTTTCTCATCTTGTGGATACAGAACACAAGATTGTTGTTATCGAGGTTTTCCAAGTCATCTACCGTATACCAACTAATCTTAACTTCACCTTAAGAGTTCGTCTACTACATATTGCTGAGGCCGTTGGGATCCACATTAAGAAACCTAACTTATGTATCCAAAAGAAGCTGGTTCAGACACTGTCCTCACCTTGGCCATCAAGGGTTTAATGATCCTCAGTTTGTTGTAGAAATCTCATTATTTTTATTTTATATTCCATTTGCTGTTATATTTTTATGCTTAGTATAATTAATGCGTCTTTTGTGAACCGTAATTCCACTGATCTTACTTAAAAAATCGATATTATTTAAAAAAACACCAATATTGATAGTGATGATTATTCTTGAATATTCTATGTATAGAAAATATATATATATATATTCTTCTCATCTAGTTTCCTAGCCAGTAGTAAGCTTAGCGAAAATGGCAGCTTGAATGTGATTCTAGCAGTTCCACTGTTAACTGAAGTGCTATAAATGCTCAAAACTATATACCTACTGATAATAAGATGAGTAGTTGTATAGCAGTCACATCGACCAACAGGGCTTGTTAGTCAGTCAGATTAAAGTGATCTAAACACACGTATGAACACTATGCAAGCTGCAAGTTGCGAATTTGACTTAAAGTGTTACCAGTTCACAAATGTAGACAACCAGAAATTAGGTGGGTTGAACTGATTCGGTCCTCTCAGCTAAGTCACATTGCGCATACCACTGATGAGCTCAGCCCTAAACAAACGAAACGGCCCTTTGGTATTTAGGTAACTTCAGTCTCGCTAGCAAGCATTACTGGTTGATGTGCGGGTGGTGTGCAACTACTCATCTTCATCAATCAGGAGTACATAATTTCACGCATCTATGCTTGTTCCCTTGATCACCAATCATGCTATCAGGCCTGATCACATACTGTGATCTGAATAATTATGATTTTCAAAGGAAACCGTGGTGAAGTTTCACCTTCTCGAACTGTATAACTTGCAAATTGCGGATTTGTCTTGAAGCGTTATGCTTCACTTACAGCGCGGGGAATGAAAAACATCTCTCTCTCTCTTTGTTACAAGATGCCATCTTGTGTCACTGTTTATATTTGTAAGTTATAAAAAACAAAGTGTACCAACTTACCACAAGAGCATAATTTAACGATTGGCCGTCTATAACAACACCAAACTGTGCTTCAGGATGGTATTCTTTTGATTCTTTTATCCGTTCAATTTGACTTTTTAAAAAGCCTCCGCAACCAATCATATCATTGAATTTTGTTATACGAACTTCTTGCATACCAGGATAAAAATGTCCAGCTAAGTAGCTAATATTAACAGCTGTCTCCTCTTTATCCCCTGTAAGCACCCAAACCTTAAAGGATTTTATTTAAAAAGAAATTAGGTTGTTCATGAATACTCAGAAGAAATTAATGTTGGGTAGTAGAAACTAAAATCTGAACGAAGACTGATTATTTCTGTGAACTTCTATTTGAGCACTGAAATAATCTGAACTGCTAATTTAGCTAAATGTGTATGGGGAAATATTACAGAGTCGTTTTCAAATAAAATAGCAACAAAAAACACGTGTATTCTTGTCAGTGTCAGCCTTAACAGTTTTTGTGCTCTGCAAGTCTGTTGTCCATCCGTAGGATGGTTAAGTTTATCAGGTCGTCACAAATGTAGACAATGGAGTGAATGTTAGACATCAAAGTGTAACACTTTCTGAAATAGGCGGTTCCTTTCTAAGGTTGTGAGTAATCTTTGCAGACGATTCCGGAAGTGAGGGAAAAGAGATTTCAATTTTTTCTTGGTTACCGGTGGTGTTTTAGCTGATGTCACTCTAAAAAGAGTTTCACCGGGAAACAGGGTAATCTTAATAATGTTGCACGCGCTTAGCATTACATCATCAGTGATAATTATGTCAATTGCTGTTGATGGATGTGGTAAAAAGCCGTCGGACTGATCGACTTTCAGGCATACTTTTGTTTAGGATGAGTAACATACTATTTCTGACATCTAGAGAACTTACCTTGTTATCTGGCACTTAAGTGAGCAGGGTTTTCAGGAATTGGTTATTCTCTAAGTTGTAGCTTTATTTGTAAAGTGTTTCGGTTTAATATTAGACATCATAGTCATGTCTTTTAGGTAAGTACCAGGATTTCATCTGGGAATAAAACTGAGTCTGAGGGTCGACATTCTAGATTAGAAGTACTGTTCGTCACGTTTAGAATCTAATTTGTTATAGTCATCTACGGTAATTCATCTAATACTGATGTGATTGCTGATAACCTTACGTCAGTATGTTAAACATTTATGAGAAAAAATACAGACAGAAATGACATAGTATATAAAATAATTAGAGTTGATTTTCGCGGAGACCTGTAACATACCAACCTCACAGAGGTTCTAAAGTAAGTGGTAAAAAGTTGCAACGTTGAATACATAGTGTAAGCCCTTTGAACTGTTATGCATCCTACTGTAATAAAAACGGCATACAGCCACTTTTTTATAACTCTTATTCGAAGGTAAGTACTTTGCTTTATAAGCGTAGGGTAGCGAAGTTGACCACTAGCAGTAACTGAAAACAGTGGATAGAAATATCGAATAAGCTAGATTATCATTAATTTGACCATTCGTCTTCCACATTGTTCGGTCAATTTCCATCCCATTGGGCAGCTGACTGGTGGTTTGTATCTGACATTGGTCGGTAGGATTTGATGACGAAGGCACTCATGGAGAAAGAATAATTGTTCTCTGGTGGATCCTTGACTTTTGGCGAAGTCTTCCCACTTTCGAACAGAGAGAAGCATGTTCCGCTGGTAAGATTTAGATATGATGGAGAAGATTTGTAGTTCAGATGAAGTCTTCAAATTGAAGTATGCGCTGAAGATGTCACCTAGTAGGGTGATGAAACCTTCGCAAATTAACTATCCATCTCAGAGAACACAACCACATCAAAAGCTAGATTATTCCAGATTAATATGAAGTGAGAGTCAAAATGGATGTCTGCTTTCGTTGTTGTCATATTGTCGGCTGGATTATCTGGTTACAGAGCTTATATTGTCTTTCTATACAAAATCTACAGCGAAGACTTCAGTGTGAAGCCATTTAGCAGAAGGACAATGAAAACTTCAGCTCACGGAACACAGCCAGACTCAAACAATTCACCTTAGCCACAAACCTTCTCCACTGTCGGTGTGTGTATCAAATGATATATTCAGTAATTTCATATCAATATGATAACATTACTGTATTTCGTAGAGTTTTATTAGCGCGATATCCTTTTTTCCTTCCTAAATCAATAGAGGAAAGTTGTATAGTCCCCACAGTCTTTTTATTCCAGCTTTCATTGGTTCACGCTGTCACTGATCCACTTTACAATATCAAATATCGCAGGCTCTCTCTCTTCTTCAAACTAGTAGTAGTGCTAGTCTATCAAACTATCTATAGACTTGTTAAGAATGATTTCAGACATTTCAAATAATAAGTGTATTACTGCATACTTATTGATTTCGAGTAAGCCGCCTGACATTTCACAAAATATTATTATTCCATTGGGTTCCAAGTTGAACATAGGGCTTCAACTGCACATCTTCATTTTGTCTAGTTCTCTGCAGTTCTCATTAGCTGCTTCCACGACTGTCTATGACCTCTCCTCACATAGTCTCCTCCATGTCACCATCGGACGTTCAACCTGTTGTTTCCCACTCAAGTTCCCCTCGAGCTGTGGTCTGGCGCCTGATGTCATAAACATTCTTCTTAGCGTGTGTCCGATTCATTACCATTTCTTCCGGATATATGTTGATCAATATATTCTTCATTCGTTCTTTCCCAGAGTTTTTTGTTTCTAATTCTTTCTGGCCAGTCATCTGATTTTTTAGGGTTATACACCAAATTCCGAAGTCGTTATCACGTGCAGTTCGCTTACGTCTGCTACACGTATCTGAAGCTGTTACAATAAGATAGACTAAACCGGAACTTTGTATCCAAAAAAGAACATGTCCAGACGCTGTTCCTACCATGGCCAAACTTGGATTGATGATTCTTCTTCTCACCAAGAGTGCTTCTTTCCCTTAACCCCCTTGGTTTTTTCCTTTGCTTATTATTACAAATATTAGTATTACGATTATTATTATTATTCTATAATTTATACCCTTCATGCAAACATTCTCTCAGTACTGCCGAATTTTCTATTTATACTATCCGGATTTATTATTAGTGATTTTATCTCTTTCATATCACACATTCGTTATTTCATCATGAACCTCTCATTGCAGTCTTACTATCTCCTCTTTATTACATACCACTTTGTACTAGCCACTCACCTGACACCTTTAAGAACCTTGACCTGCCTTGTCAATTTTCCTACCCCACATTCTACGAATCTATTATGACTAATCAGCACCACAATATTTTGTAGTCGATTTCAGCCTAGCACGTTTGTCACACAAATACGACTATTTATTTTGACACCCCATAACTAATCTGTTATTCTACGTAAAAAATGTATCCGCCGCATAACTGGCCATTATTCTAACGACAACAAATATTATATTTTGTAATTGTAAGAACCTGAAGACTGACATTTAATCTGATCTTCAGTATGGAGTCAGAGAAGGCAGCTGTTGATAAAAGTCTGAGGTAGCCTGTTGGAAAAGCTTTTCATGACGGGCCAAATTTTTGAATCATGTAGAACTGGCTGACTTGAAATTGGTGTTGAAAATCCGGATTTCGTTGTTTTTGATAAGTTCGGAAGATTTCCAAGCTCAATTCAGGGTGATGAAGGTCTATCTTGACTCTCCCTATTCTGGTTTCGACATCCTCATGCACATTAATCTGCCTCATAATTTTTTTCCCTTCACGTTTCTCAGTGGAACATAGGGCTTCAAGCTAGTGGCTTGAAGTTCCTGTAGCAGTGTTTATTTTACAGGATGGGGTTGCTAGCCTCGTGTCCAACCTTTCCTCTTTACCAGCATTATTTCTGGCTTAGCGAGGTAAAGGAGTGCGTTGGTCGGGGATCGAACGCCGGACCATGTGCATGGTCGGCGAGCGTCCTAACTAACCTAACGTCCACCTAACCGCTATACCACCGACGCCTCATAATTACTCTATTTATATTCAATTTAACAGAAAATAAGATTGTATAAAATAATTTAGACTTACTTTGATACCAGCTTCTCTGAGTGCTTTTATAGTGTCAGGTACACCATCTTGCAGCATATCCTCTATACCAGTACATCCAATTAATGTAAGTTTACTTTCAATATCATTATAAGCAGATGTTAATTCCTTTTGACGTCCATCCATCATTCCTCTTGCTGTGTCCAACTGTTGTTTCAATTGAGTCCATTGCTCGAAAGTAACCAAACGGACACCCATAACTAATGTTCGTAGGCCAAGTGTAGCGAATTCAGTCACTTGTTTCATCACTTGTTCAGGGTCCATTCGTAAATATGAAGCGTAAGGGCCACAGAAGCTATCACCTAGCGGATCACCATAGCTAGGGAATTGTGTGGTCTGTTGGCTTGCATTTACCTGGTGAAATAAATAAAAGATTCTGATTTTGATGAAATTGGTCGAGAGTTATATAAAATCTTAGCTACATGATTTCAGTGTTATGGACTAATAATATCGGTTATTATGTAATTCAGTAAAAGTGAAAAGTAAACAAGACTCCACTATCGAGTGATTCAAAATTGCTTTAGAGAGTGCTCTGAGAAGTAACAGCGAGAAAAAGATTGAAACTGTATTTAATATGGAGATTCCAATTACGGCTGAGAAAACGATTCATATCTTGTGGGTAAAAAAAATTTCAAAATTTAACTATTAACCTCTAGTTAATGGTCTTTCAATACTGATCAATCAAATCCCTGCAAACCAACACTTGAATATTTTTGTTTTTATGTAGGTCTGAACCTCCAAGTTCAACAATGTGCAAACGCTTATTTTATCCATATGTTTACAAGACACCACTCTCCTTTGAAAACACTGCAGCATTACTTTTATATTAAAATGATCCAGTTCCAAAGAATGGTGATCTCAACAATGCAGTTTATTCAATTTCATTACATGGTACGGTGATTCGTCACTGAGAAAAAATTTCATAATAATTTATATTAAAAGTGAATTGACATTATGTTACAGACAATTATCACAAACAGTGGTGCTCGATGGCCATATGGAAGTATTGTAGACATTGGATGTCTGTTTCACTCGTTTTAGGCATGACCCATCAGCTCAACAGCCAAATCAGTCCAAGTTATGCGAATCGTGGTCAGCTATTCTGGAGCATTGGCAACAGATAGAATCATCTTGCAAATTACGCAGTTTTGTGTGAGAATTCACCATACTTTTCTTTTGAAACCAGAAATGTGGACAAAATGAATCGTATGTATCTAGCAGTGGTTATTTCTAAGAGTAAGATTTCAATCAGCACTTAAGATCAGAAAGTGGAAATGCACTCCAGGTGACAATAGTGTACTTGTAGAGGTATCACTATTCAACAGAAAAGATTGATGTCAAGGTATTCAATTTAATAACTAAGTTGAAACGATTCGGACTTTATAGGGAGTATGATTTTTATTATGTTCTCTGCAGACATATTCACTGATGAGTATGAGGAAATATGAAATCAAAGTTCAATCCGCCTTGTCTGTCGATTCAACATCATACATAAAGGTTGGTTAAATTGCGGCAATTGGAATGAAGTAACCACATTATTTATATATTTTTTAATTTTTTATTTTGATTACAGCTTGATGGCACACCATATTTTCAGTATAAGTATGGAATTTTCAGCATGGATATCGGTAGCCCAAATTTTGCTGGCCGACCATAGATATCGGGTGTGCGTCGGCAGGGGATCGAACCCCGGACCATGTGCATGGTCGTCGAGAGTCCTAACCACTGTGCCACCGACGCACGAATGCAGTACTTTCTAAATGAAGTGAAATTTATATCGAGACTAAATCCGTTTGTTAACAGACCTGTCAGATAAGGCATGAAAATATTGACTTGAGTTCGGTCGCCTTCAGGTTTGCTTAATTAATGTCTATTCAACCAGAGTCAATAAATATATAATGTATCTTATCCATTTCAATGAGAAGTTACAATCAGCGGTAACCACCAAGTCAGGTAAGAGATCGGTTACTTGCCCATGCCCATGGCTGGCAGTTACGCTATATATATTATGAATTGGCAGAAGTTGGAATTCATGGGCTTCCCGTTTGATCGGGTCCCACTAGCTGAATGGTCTACGAGCTCGCCTCGTAGCCAGAAGGCCCTGGGTTCGAACCATTGTAGTGAGTGCGTGTCGATGAAGAGTCCTAAAATAGGCTAATGAAACAGCTGTCCAGTACTCCCTGATGGTTTTCCAATGATTCTGTAACCTATCTCAACTCATGAAATCCTCTAATCAATCAAATCCTTGCAAACCAAGATTTGATAATTATCCGATATATATACAGAAATACCAGTTAGTAACTGGAAGTATGCGTAAAAATGAAAACGTTGCGTCAATAATTTTCCTAGACTAAAAGAAAGGGGTTTGCAGATTAAAGCGAAGCCAATTCAATAGTAAGACAATTTCTGAGATATGCTCTATGTGTACGCCTGATTCTTTCACCAATTCATGCTCTTTTACATTGCCACTCAGGAGACTTTAGGAGTTTTAGTGGAGAAGCAGTAGTTACTGCTGTTCGCTATAAAGCAACAGAATAAAGAAGCCTTTTGCAAACTCTTAAAAATAACCTGTGGGTAAGGACTTTAAAATATGTATCATGACTTAAATAGCTGAGATAGTTTACCTTAGCAAGAAGAGTTGTTTCGGCACCTTTGCACAGTATCAAGACAGGCGGTGGACTTGTCGACGATGTTGTGTTACCTTCCTTTGGTACGAACTGGACGACAACTGACATGCATTTTCTTGTTGGATCAAATTCAAGTACATCCAATAGACGATATCTCACGGCTTCTCCGTGAATTGTTATTACCTTGAAAAGCAAAAAATTAACATATTTTTAAGCTACCTACCAAAAAAAGGTATTAAGTAATATATATACGGATCACTAATAATATGAAGCGAAGATTATTCATGATGGATGGATTTGAAGACTAATTAGAAAGGAAACCTGAATGTATTTATAAGATCTCTTGTTTAATTTTGGTCCACATATGGCTACCAATAGGGATTCTTCGTATTCTTCAAAAGAGGTAACTTCTATGACACACGAAAACTCATCATCAACATTTAGAAACTTATTTATAAACAAATACTCTCATTTCTTATTACCACCTCTCAATTAAAATGGAATAGACTTCCAGCTGCACAGATTAACTAATCATTTTTAGCCCCAAAGAGAATTCCTAATGTTAGGGCAATCTTTGTACACAGATCTTTTGTGAATTTCAGAGCATTTACTGCTGCCTGCCTAGTGTAAATATCATTCCATATAGGATAATTTTATTTGACATAACACATAGTGATACAATATTACTAAGTGGATGAGGTTTCAGGCACAGTTTATCTCTCATAATCATATCGAAGAATTAAATTTTACTACGATGGCCGAATTTTAATTTCACGTTAATTATGCCTATGATCTTTGTGTTCGGAAACCAATAAGCAAACTCAAATAAATTTTACGGAAAGAAGCCGAATTCACAAATCGTCACATTTATAACACTGAGTGTTTAAAGTAGTACGACCGATTTTTATGGCCATCCTACTTGCGGCAAATAAGGTGAAAACAGCAGGAGAGCAACTCAGTGGCGAAGAACTTCACAGAACTACTAAGAAGCTAACTGCCCTCGAAGTATTAGACTGATCAGCAACGATTGTGAAACCATAGTGGAAGCATCCAAATAGCCAAGACCAACTGCTTTCAGAGTTACCAGAAATGCAAAACAACTTGCTTAGGATTCTAGCACAGGAACCTGTACTGAGGTTATAAAGCTAGTAAACAAGTTTTTTAATCAAAAAGAGAGACAAGAATTAATAAAACATGAGTAATTACCTAACATTATTCTTAATCTTATTGTACCGTTCTTAATAGTATGCAGTTTTCTTTGTGTGTCAGAGAAGAGATCATAAGCTATGAAATGCAATTTAAAAACCCCAAATTTTTATTGTTTATTACTTAAGATGACTTTTTCTTTTAGTAGTATTAAGGGCTTCATTGTTGAAACACACTAAATATGACCTTAATCTGGTTGTTTAGCAACACAAGTACATACATAATAAAGACTTTGTTTTAATAATTACTGTTTACTTAGCTATTTTAAACTTTATTTTTTGAGATGAATAAGGATAAACACTATTCCTTTTTTTAAGTACAATGAGAAGTGAATATGAATAGGGATAAATTGGCACTAATAATATTTTTAACAAATAGCGGAAAATTCTTCGAATGTTTATATATATGAGAGTACAAGTAAGGAAGGTAGAGAAGGAGAATAGTTTCACAGTGAGTTGAAAATAAGGTTGTGTTCTGGTTAAATCTAAGTGTTTCTTAAGATTTAAGAAACTAGCGGTTAATGTTTTAGTACTAAAAGCAATGTGAGTCGGACAACATTAACAGTAAGAAGACATTCATGCATTTCAGGGCTTGATTCTGCCCGGCCGGCAACAATACCAACATTCTGGATGTCATTGTTAGATACTGCTGAACGATTATCAAACAAGCAGAACAACTAATATACTGAGGCTGCAGTAATTGCAGTAGATCACAGTAGGGGTACCAGTCGGCACACGACATCAGGAAAATAATGTTATTTTATTCTATGAAATGAAATGTGTGCGATTCTAAAGCTAAAACGATAACTCCATTGTGGTTAGAAATTAATTTTGATTAAGTCTCACAGTGTTGTACAGTAATATTTACTGATGACGTTTCGACCACAATTCATTGCTACTCATGATCAAATCAAGTTACTCACACAACTTTCCAGCTTCGTCTATATGGTTTCACTATTTCTCATCTCTTGATTTCATTGGTAGTAATATTTTCCATATTCCTGGTATCAGTAATGAGTCATTCCTATTACACGTGCCGGGTGTAGATTCTATTAACAAAGATTGAGTAATCAACCTCTCTTCACCTACCAGTATAAATTTTTAGAATTTTGACTCTTTTCCACTCTATCGTGTTTTTGTGTGTTATTGCATGTAGTGTAATTTCCCAGGGCTCCTTAACCGACTGTCATCAGCAGGTCACCAAGAAATACCAAAGATAGCATGCACAGAACTGCTAGCGAACACCGATTCTTCAAAAAAGCAGAGGTCTTGAATGCAGTCAATCTAGTGAAAGCTGGCCGGGCAGGCGGCAGGACCGTATGGAATTTTGTCTGAAGACTAAACAGATCCAGAGACCTCAGCGAATGTGCTGGTGTCTCTAGTGCAGAAGGTTTGGAAGGAAGGATAAGTATCTACTGATCGGAAGAAAGGTTACTTCGTCAAACTACCAAAGAAGGACAACTCAGGTTTCTCTAAGAACTGGTGTGGAATCATGCTCTTCTCTACGCCAAGCAAGACATTAATGTGCATCCGCTTGGAGAGAATAAGAGATGTTCTGGATGCAGAACTACATCTGTGGTAAGCTGGAATCAAGAGAAACAAATCGTCCCGCTACACATCATCATTGAAAACAGCATAGAATGGAAGTCTAACCTCTACGTCAGCTTCATCAACTTTGAAGACGAAGTAGTTTGAAAAACTGCTTCGACACTAAGCAGTGTCCTTAATTTGAATCATCCCCTCTCAACAGCACTACAGTTTCACATATCAGGTGATCTAAAACAGGAAACTTAGCAAAGCGTTTGGAGTGAATACGGGACTGAGGCGAGATTGTCCATTATCACCAATGATATTGCAAACTGTGGATGCACTGGGTCATGTGTACCTTGCGGCAAGCAAGAAAACACAAATAAATTGGACTGATGAAGAGACTATAGATGATCTGGACTTCGTGGATGGATTATGTCTAGTGTGACATTAACGCGAAGATTTTCTTAGCGAAAGCGAACAAGTTAGAAGAAGAGGTAGGTGGCAATGACTAGATTTTAAGTAAACGTAGAGAAGGCAGAGGCGATGAAGGTCCATTAAGAAAAACAAACACTAGTGACTACCAACAGAATAAATTTGAAGGAGGTCACTTCTTTCACTTATCGAGGCATCATCGTGTTGACTACAGGCACGCCACACGGATGTGGATGTCAAGACCAAGACGAGAAACGTAAAGCAAACCTACTTTAATCTGAAATCAGTGTAGAAATCTACTGCACTACGCATCAAGAACGAAATTCGCTTTTTTAACACTAATTTCACTTCAGTTGTTCTACATGGTTCTGAGACTTGATGTGTCAACAAAAGCATTTCCCACAGGCTTCGGGCTTCTATCAAAAGCTGCCTTCGCCGGCTTCATACTGAAGGTTAGATAGCCAACCAGGAAGCATCAGAAACAAGGAGCCAATCAAGAACCTATTGCCCAACAAACATCCCGAAGAAAATCAAGAGGGAAAGGACACATGCTGAGGAGATCGTTAAATAACATTCTTCGCCTGTCCATAGTCCAAGTGGAAGATGGATGGGAAATAACAAGTTTGGTGTAGTTCTTTGGGCAATATGTAAGAGACCATGTGAGGAATAGATGATAGCTTATGGTCAGCCGTGGAGCCAGCTAGAGAGGGCTGCAGCAAGTAGAAGAAGATGCAGATGAGTCCTTACGTTCAACTTACAACCCAAGGAAGCGACAATAATATAACAGTTACTCAAAGTTATCTCAGACAGTTTTACCATAAATCAAAATAGGAAGAAATTTTTTCCATGAAATCAAATTAACATGACTCACAAGTAGTCCACTTTCGTCTGAGCCATGGTATACGATGTCCAAATCACGACATGTTTCTACAAATGCTTTTTCATCTGGAGATGATGCCTAGAGATAATGAAATTTAAAAGCGAAAATAAATATATAACATATATATAAAAACATATATATAATATAAAGTGCTTTTATTTGTTTCGTCAAATGGCATTTAAAATATGAAGCAGATCACACTTTGTGATGTGAATATTTATAGTTTCCAATGGAAACTACAGTAGATTTTCTTCTCGAACTGCGTAATTTGATAAATTTGACTCCAAAATTATATTTTATTCAATAAAACCAACAAATATGTTTAAGTGTAATCCTATCACATAGCTAAGAGATGTATACACTGTAAATTATAGAGCTTTTTTTTACTATTGGAGTTCTGAGTGGAATATGAACCTTCAGCATTTGAATTTTCAGTAGTATTGGAGTTGTTTTCACAGGTTGGGTATGCTAATGGCTAATCTTCCTCTTTTCCGGGTTTACTAGAAGTTACGGGGAGGAGAAGGCTTTGTCAGTGTGTTGGCAGGAAATTTAGTCCTATCCTAGAAGGCATCCCATCATTACTGCTCACGTAAAACATATCCGTCACGAGCAAAATTCAAAATTATTATCAGAGAGAGAGAGAGGGAGAAAGAGCTGTTTAAACACGAAAACAATTTCATAAGATGTTTAGAATGTTAAAGAGCAGCCGAAATTTGATTTAACCCAACAATAGCTACCATGTTTTAATACAGCAGGTGAGGTGGCTAGTCAGAAATTAACTATGGTAGCCAACCAACCAAGAACCTTTTACCACCGCACAAATATGTGGAAAGAAATAGAGGTGGACTAGACGTACCCTGTAGACACCTTCAAGTGATATCACACTCCAAGCCCTCCAGTGCAAACCGGTTTGAAAGTGACAGGTTTGAAGTGGGTTGTGGATGAAATAAAGCAGACCATATGAAGAGGAAATGTCAGCTTGTAGACAGTGATGATAGCAGAGAACTGTGTAAACAATAATAATGATATATGTACCCCCGAAAGTACCCCATAGAACAACAAATGAAGTTTGGCTTTACCGTTAATAATACCTGACTAGCCTTCAATGGCAAAATTTTGATCGTCGGACTAATTAAGATGTATCCAATAAAAACACTCTGAATACCAAAGCTTTTTACAGTACTGTTTGCTGCATATGTAACATTGCTTTGTCTATGTATTAACCTTAATTCAGAATTTCTAAATTACTCAGTGTTCTTCCGACATAACATGCTTACACACTTGAATGAATATTAATTTCAAAGTCAGAGTCTTTACTACTGAATTTCTGTATAAAAAGGTAAAGCACACCGAATGACATACTGAGAACAACCTATATGATTTAAATAGCACATTATTTGTCATGCGACAATTGTTCCGTCTCAATGATGATGAAAATTCAGGTGTTACACAAAACTGCCGAATATTATTAGCAGTAAAACAAAACGTGTTGGTCCTTAAAACGGAAGTATTTGGAAAAAGAACACGTGTAGTGAAATAATACTAAAAATGGTTCCGAAAACCTCTGCTATTGCTTTTGCCATAAACCAGCTGTTAAAATATTTAATGCTATTATGATAGAAGATAGCTAGATGCTGATAGCAATCATGCTGTATAAAAGTGTATTTTGTTGAGTTTTTTAATTATTTACTTTAAATAAAAGAGAGGTGACGAATTTATCAGAACATATTTCGTTCTAGATTTCACCACACATTGATCGCAGAATCGTTAGTTTTTGAGGTGATTCCTTCACTAATTACGTAACCCTAGTATCTCTTGATTACCACCTATTACCACCTAAAGTTACAACAAGAAATTCTTCCTTCGATCGACTTCACAAGATTCTCCTCGAGCCTGTGAAACAATGAATAATGAGTGACTATATGCACCCAATTTACTAACCTGCGCTAAGGCCGATAAAGGGAAAGGTTGGGTGTGGCCCTACAACCTGGAGTCCATAGGAAACAAATCCACTACTGCTAAATCTCCGAAGGAGAGAATAAATAAATTTACTCCTCGCAGGAATCGTGGGTACAAATGATGCCTAATGATGGAAACCTTCGAGAAGTTAGTTGACCAATGTGTCTTCTTCTGATGAAAGCAGAAGTCAACATGTGGACTTGGAGTATATACATTCTGTTTTCATTTGGAAAGGTTACTAAGACTGTAGCAGAAATGAAAACATGATCGCTAATGGAACTTGTGCGTCGGTGGCGCAGTGGTTATGACTCTCGCCAACCATGCAAATGGTCCGGGTATCGATCCCCTACCGACGCACACCTGATATCAATAGTCGGCCTGTGAAATTTAGGCTACCGATATCACATGCTGAAAATTCCATACTTGTACCAAAAGTACCGTGTGGTTTAAAGCTATAATCAAAAAAATTAAATTAATTAAATTTTAAAAAGCACAGTAAAAATAATAATACTCAGATGTAAGTTCTGTCGATGTTCGATCGGTTGAGAAACAGATTTAATCCTGAGCGTCCAAAAGCACGTCGCTTAAGAGTTTGGAGTGAAGGCAAAACATCTATCAAAGTGTTTCTTCTTTATCAATTTTTATCTAATGAGTATCGTTTTGTGAATAAATTGGCTAGATAAAATTAAAACTCCAAGATCTCAGTTTTGATGTTTTTTCACCTAATGTCAATGAATCTTACCATATAAGAAAGTTTATATGGATCACTCAGACTTACGAGTGCAATCGCATTGAGATTATATGGGCTGCTAAAAGTGTACAAAGACGGTTCGCCACTTTGGTCAGTGTTAAACATGTCTAATACCCCGAATTGCACAACAATTAAATGTTTAGTGAAGCTCTTAGAGCCTCTGTATAGTGAATTATTAAAATACAGCGTAAAAGTTAGTTTAAATTTGTCGAAGTAATAAGGGATAACAATGTGAATGATAAGTTTATGATATCTTTTGATTTATTCTCTTTCTTCACTAATGCACCACTGATTAAAATGGTGGATTCTATATATGATGACATCAGTGTTTTGTGTCCCGCACGAAGAAATTTATTTTAAGATGTACGGTGAATGTTCATATCTTGTTCAACAGACACACTGATGGTGTGGCTATGGGTTCACTATTAGGTCCAGTCCTAGCAGATATATTCCTGGCTAAGTTAAAGAAAGGAGTCATTAATGAATTGGGATACTATTTTCGATGTATGGATGATACATGCCTGATTGTGAAAAACGAGAATAAAGCAACGAACATTCTCGACAAATTCACTGAAACGCATTCAGCAATAAACTAAGAAGAAGTATGTATAGGTGACATTCAAAGACAAAGCAGCACACTCAATTTTTGAGTTTCGCACCTTTGAAATACAAATGGAACCTGGTAAATTGTTTGGTTCAAAGAGCCAGGATAATCTGCTCAATGAGTTTAAGATTCCCAGATAATTGCTTGGTAAAAAGGATTATGCACACATGTTTATTGAGAGAAATATTAAGACTATTAAGATTATTATTTGATTCCCAAAATCACCGTCATTGGTTAAAATTTTATATAAAAATTTTATGTATAAATCTATGTAAATTAGAGTAAAGCCTGAAGAAGATCTAATTGAAAACAATATTGTTCGCTTATATGTCTTGTTCTTATATTATAAATGGGAATATTTAAAGATTAGAAATATGAAAAGCTAGTATGAAAACATCTCCAAAAAGCCCTTGCTCAAACAACTGAAGTTTCTTGGCGATAACATCAGCGAGACAGTGACACAGTACTTGAAGAATGAAGTCAAAACAGCATTCAGTGCAGCAGTAGTACACTGTCTCTTCAAAGCCACCCCGATTTCACGTTCTAGAAATAAGGACAAACTACCTAATTTCACTTCCCCTATGTGTATCTACCAGTCTGATTGCTAGTGAGCAGATATTTATATTGGGTTCATCATCGTATTTCTGAACATCACCTTGCATGGTTCAGCATGGGACAGATAAGATGTATTTTTCTCTATACTCGATATGCTGCGAGGAAGAGATACAAATAACGACATGATCACGCAGCATGAAGTCGATATTAACTTGCAGTGGAATTCAACTCGCTCGACACCTTTTGTTCGGCAGTCGTCAGCTGGATGTGCCTACATCCCCGATGAGTAGTTTGTTTTCCATCTGAGACTGGAACTCAGCAACCATCGTTTAAAATGTCGAAGCGTTATCCACTTAGGCGTGCAGTGGGGGCTTTATTCATTGTTTTTTTTTAAGTTTTAGTTATAATAATAATGATTATCTCCTAGTAGAGGAAAAATCCCATTTTTGTTTGCAGACAGTAAAAAATCTGTCTGTAACACTGATAGATACTGAATATTAAAAACTAAGTTGTTTATCTTAGTTATTTTTAGAATGTCAGGTATTCATAAGTTTAGTATAGTGTGAAAGATATCTGTTAAAAATTAGCAGCAAAAATTACTTATTTTAGAAGCTTCTTAGTTGTCATAGGTCACAGCAGGTTATTACTTGAGTAGTTTGCTATTAAAGCGTCAATAATATATTTGAAAACTTATTACTAATTTTGAAAAAAATGCTGTATCTTGTTTTCTTTTGAAAAGTGTGACAAGATGTCGAGAAGATGCCCAACTAAATTGTGTAAATAGGATGAGAAGTGTTAGCTTGATTTTTTTAACTAGTGTTTTCTACAGTGGATTGAGTTCAACGAAATGAAAGTTTTGTTAGTATGCTTTCATTTCAAGATCATTGACGCAAAAATTGTTTTTAAAAACACTGAGAGTAGACTACAATTTATACATGATTTACACTATTTCCTCAGGTATATATTATCTGTTCACGTCATTTGAATTGAATCAGTAATCTTACTTGAAGATGAAGTTGATATGTAGTGCAGACAGTAGGTTTCAGCTGGTTCTTAAGTATTATTATGCTTATTTATTTGATTCTTTTGAGTTCCAAATGTGACATAGGGCTTCACGTTCGAGATTTGAAGTTTCAGTAGCAGTGGTACCATTTTTTCAGGGGTGGGTTGGCTATCCTGGCGGTGAGCCTTCCCTCTCTGTTGGGCTTA